GGTGTCCCCACCGTAAGAGAGACATAGATTTATTGGAGCATGTTCAGAGGAGGGCCACAAAGATGATTCAGGGACTGGAGCACCTCTGCTACAAGGACAGGTTGTGGGAGCTGGAATTGTTCAGCCTTGAAAAGAGAAGACTTCGGGGGGACCTAATAGCTGCCTTCCAATACCTGAAGGGAACTTACAGGAAGGCTGGGGAGGGACTTTTTACAAGAGTGTCCACTGATAGGACAAGGGGAAATGGGTTTAAGTTGAAGGAGAACAGATTTAGATTAGATCTTAGGAAGAAATTCTTCAGTACGAGGGTGGTAAGACTTTGGAATAAATTGCCCAGAGAAGTTGTGGATGCCCCCTCTCTGGAGGTGTTCAAGGCCAGGTTGGACGGAGCCTTGAGTAGCCCGGTCTAGTTGAGAGGCGTCCCTGCCCATGACAGGGAGGTTGGATTAGATGATCTCTGAGGTCCCTTCCAGCCTATGCCATTCTATGATTCTATGAAGCAGTGCCTGCTGCAACTTGCACAAAAAAGTCAGTTAAAATGTCACAGAGCAATTAGCCATTGTAATAAGTTGGCTGAATTAAAGCAGCTGAAGAATCCTGACTCAGACTTGCACCCGGGCATTGAATTGTTACATTACGTGGCAAACAAGGCAATTGATCTCAATTTCTCATCTCCCAGAATTTGTTGCTTAAAGGCATTAGCTTACTCACTTTCTTTCCCTGCTGTGACGAGCAAAGAACAGGCTTGTAGCAGCCTCAGAACCACTGTGGTCCTAAGAGTTTTGCCTCCTTTCCAGGGAGGTTGATGGGGTGCTGTAAGGGACAATGTCTTCTACAGCAACCAGGTGGTCTACAACATTGGTGCTAAGTGTCTTTTGGGGAGACAGACCTGTTTCCTTTCTTTTGTGCCCCATGTAAAAAAATCAAATAGTCTTCTCACTGCATCAGAAGAATTTCCACAACAGCTTTTGTGGTTTGGCTTTCTGCCCCCACCCACAAGGGAATCGTGCTCTTACCTCTCTGGTGTAGCCCATGCAAGAATCTATACAAACTCTAATCCTCATAGTCCTCTCCCAGAACTACAGGTGAGAAATTCCTCAAATCAAACTTACTTCTGTTTTTTTCAAAGTACAATTTTGCAGATGCCTTTTTTAAAATTTTACAAGATACAATTTTAAAGTCCTCCTTGCCTCCATTTGCAGACAGCTCTTTGTCAAGGCTCTACCACAGCACACAATGTATGAAATTTATGTACAAGTTATGATTCAGTTTACATTTTGAATATTGAACAGAACAGTGAATGTTCTATTTGCTATATTTCAAATTTTTATTAACCATAGAAACAGTTACATGTTTCCAATGGCTTTCAGACTCCAGGCGGGCCTATTTTTTCATTTTACAGACTATGAAAGAAAACAAATCATAGTGGTTTCTGATGAGGTGCAGGACCCAGACTAGATTTATGGCTCAGCATGGCAAGCGCTCTGCATGTCTCCACTCTTATCTCCAAGCTTTTCAGGCCTGTCTGTCAGTGACCTTTTTGTATGCCACACTGGATGGTGCATTTTCTCAGTCCCACTAGTATTACAGTCTGCTTTTTCTCCAAGCCATTACTACACCCTGTCCTGTTGATGTATTCTTTAGCAATAGTAATATCTACTGTAGACAATCCCATGATGATATAGTACACTATCTTGCTGTCACAACGGCAGATTAAGATGTCTTTAGAATAATATTCTTGTGCTACTAATAGGTGCACTCAATTTCAAATAATATTATTCAGCGCATTTTTAACAATTATATTCTGTTGGTCTTAATTCCATAGCCAGCATGCTGCTAAAAGGCAGGGCACTTTATAATAGTCTCTTTAGCCTTTCATTTTTACTCCACTGGCAAAATGCATCTTCAGTGTTTCTCAGTCCTGGCCAGTTTCTTTAAGTTAAAGGGGAGACAATTTGGAGACTGCTATCAAATCAGGCAGACATTTTTATCTGGGAAGCTATGAAACTTTGGCAAGCTTGCTGTTGTGACTGCAGTCGTAACAGCTGAGAGCATATCCCAGTGGAGGAGTATAATTGTTTTCTGTCTGACCTAACAAGAGACCAGAATTGGCACCTTACAAAGAAGCTCTTATAATGAGCTAAATATACTGAATTTAGCCTACACTATCTCAGTATACATGTGTGATAACAAAGGGATGGAATTTCTTTATGACTACAGTGGAACTATAGTGTATGGCATGAAGTAAAACATGTCAAGTGTCTTGCATTCCTTTCTAACTTATTGCAAACTCAACAGTTAGACTTGACTAGCTAAAGCGATATCTCATTTTAAATTATATCAGAAACCTGTGGACATTTTAAGGGAGCACCTAGTTTCAAAGCAATGCAGGATTGCTTCCAACTATGGGCTGCAGAGGTTCAGGAAGGAGAGGGTAATTTCTGAATTACATCAAAGATTTATGAATTATTCTAAGGAGACTGTAGACATAGGCAGGCAAGCCTGCGGACTTGCATTTGCTCTACAGGAGGTTAAAACATTACTGGAAAGTTAGGAGCCTAGAAATACGCTTCGGTAGGATCCTACAAACAAACCCAGAAACCTGGAAAAAAATTGCCATAGAAATTGACTTGACGTTTACATTAAGGTCAGATTTGAAACTCACAGCTGCTCTGTACTTGATGTAAAAGAGTACTGAAAAAATATTTATATCAACCCCCTGATTCCTCATTCATGCTTTATAAACCTTTCAACGGGTTTTCTTCCACATATGCAATAAGAACTTAAAAGCGTTCTAGCTATACCACCAAACTGGCCTTAGTCTTAAGAGCCTGACTTCTTTGGTCACATACACTAACCTCCCACACTTACAACACTATTCTGACATGCCAGTTTAAGCTCAAACATTTTTACTTTTAGAAAACAAAACCATGAGGAGGTTGTCCCAGCAACTGAAACACGCATCTGAAGCGGAGCACTGACTTCCATGCATGCATAGGTGCACCGCATCGGTGAGGCAGAGCATGCCCTTTTGACATTTATTTTGGGTCCTTTTGCAAGCATCATACCAACACTGCATCCACTTCCCACCCTGTTCGGTGAGAGCACAGAGCATCCCGAGGCGCACACCCAAGGAAGCAGCATGTCAGACTGCCAGTTCTGGAGGAGGACGGGTCAGCAGAGGAACTCTGAAGCAGAGCAAGGCTGAATGGCAGATAGATGCAGTTGTAGAAACACAGAACGGTTTGGTTTGGAAGGGATCTTAAAGACCATCTAGTTCCAACACCCCTGCCACAGACAGGGATACCGTCCACTAGAGCAGGTTGCTCAAAGCTTCATCCAGCCTGGCACTGAACACTTCCAGGGGTGGGGCAGTGTCACGCAAGATAGGTGAGATCTTGAGAGCAGCAGACACGGAGTGAGCTGGGAAGGTTGGGGGGTTAATATACATGTTCTAAAAAGAGATGGCACACACTCACCCGCTCCTGTTTTCATGTTTAGTGCAACAATGTTTTCAAAGTTTTTAGAAGTAATAACTTTCAATACAATAAATTACATTTAGATTGGTTTTAATCAATGAGAAATCAAATGACACATGTAAATATTACAGAGGCTAAGGAAGTTATTACCATCATGATTTTAATTATTTACATTACAAATCACTTCTCTAGACAGTACTACCCACTTCATGTGTCTGATGATAATTCAGCCTCACTTCAATTTTAACTGTTTTTGTTTTGTTCCAGAATTTAGCTTACGAAATCATTCTTACACTAGGACAAGCATTTGAGGTGGCCTATCAGCTTGCACTACAAGCACGAAAAGGGGGCCATTCTTCAACCCTCCCAGAAAGCTTTGAAAATAAACCCTCCAAACCGATTCCCAAACCACGTGTTAGTATTCGGAAGTCAGTGGTAAGTAGAAGGTAGTCATGCATGCAAAAAAACCCCAAAATTCAGCTCTACAGTTAAGAGTTGCTATACTAGAAGCTGTATAAATAACTATACCTTGAGTCAGAAATGCTCCATGTCTCAGTCGTGCCTCCTCTGCACATCAGCCGGTTCGGTTGTGTCACTGCAGCACGGGCAGCCGTTTCAAGCAACTACTCATTTCAGATTCCTCCAGTTCAAGATGTTGCTTGGCTAGTGTTGTGCATATGTCTTTTATAGTAATTGCAGAGCTTTAATTGATTTGGTCTAATTCCAATCTATTGTGCTTTTTTAAATGCCGAGGATCACAGCCAATGCATACCTCTAAAACTCTGTGGTTCCATGGACTTTCCTGCTATCCTATCAAGAAAGTCCACACCAAACTTGTCTCGTACACAATCACTGCATATGTATCCTAATCAAATTACAAATCCAAATCAATGTACAATCATCTTGTCAGACCAAGCAACTTCTTTTCTTACCCTTTTTTTTTTTCTTAGACCCTCAGCAGACCCTCCTGTTTCAAAACTGAGATTCAGTATACATTTTCAGTATTTTCTTTGGAATCCCATACTCCTAAGAATCTGAGCTCATTGGAGCCTACATATTGATTGTCTTTAAAGTGCCCTCCTGAAGTGCATAGATGACAGAGAAATACTCTTTTATGGTAGAGCTTTTAAAAAAATTATGAAAACTATTTTAAATCAAGTGAGAATAGAGGCGCAGGGCGATTTGGGAGGGAGAGGGGGAAAAAAAATGACTGCACAGTGTATCATATTCACTGGCTATAAAGTGAAAACCATACTCCGTGATGTTTAGTTACTGGATGAGAGGGAGGGGGGGGTAAAGTTATGACTGTACACTTTCTCATCCATTGCCACAGAACCTTCCTCCATAAAATTTTAAGAAAGTACATTTCCTGATGCCATCATCTGTCTCAGTAGAAAAAGGACTTCTCAGGATCAAGCATGGCTTTAACGAACTATAATGCCCTATAGCTTGAGGGTAGACAGCTCTGATCTGAACAGGAAAAAGAGGGCAACCATGGGTACATGGGAGCATAGACCACCGCACTCGCTGCTGTAGGACTTTGTTGAAACAGGATTGGCTCTGTGTTCTGTTCATTTAAAGAAAAACTTCTGCAAGAACTGCTGTGCACAGAGATGGTAACCCGTCTGTCTGTCTGCATTTGTCTTAAAGCAGATAGATCCATCTGAACAAAAGACTCTTGCGAACCTACCATGGATTGTTGAACCCGGACAAGAAGCCAAAAGAGGCATTAATACCAAGTATGAAACTACAATTTTCTGATACAAAACTGTCCCCCTGTTCCTTGTTGTGCCTTGCACGCCAAGCAGTCACAGCACAGCCTTTCCTTTATGGCAACATTTCAATCCAGCAGAGAGGAAGACTGCACTGGATGAGTGGCCTTGTAACTAACAAAAAAAGGCTGACAGTCATTTCTGGTGATGTTCTTCTTCCTGCAGCACTGACAGAAGAATGACGCTATATGAAGACTTTTAAAATTACAGTCCACAAGAGGAGTAAGAAACCTTATTTTTCACACAGTTCTCCCTTGTGACTCTGCCACAGTGCTTTCTTTGATTTCTTATTTTAGAATTCTACTTTTTAAAAAAAAAAAAAAAAACAACAACAAAAGGTCTCTAAACTAACAGTAATGCTGCCTATGAGTAGAATATTTGATTGGTTTTTTATTTAAATCTTGGCAGTTTTTAATTGAAATAGAACCAGAATTAATAGAGTATTTGTGAAACCACTGAATTCATTAATAATTACTGTGTTGAATAAAGAACTCATTAAAGTGACAAGAAATTAGGCACCCTGATTTCTGTGTGCGCTGGTTTTATATGTAATCATTGGTGTCCTTTGATCCTCTACTGAAATAGGAACCTCTTGCATTGTAACAAAGGATCAGAGTTTTATGAATGGTTAGAAAAAGGTATTAATAATGCACATAAAACATTTATTAGATATTTTTATGAAAGAGAAGTACTATAGGAAAACATATGAATATTTATGGAAGGAAGCCAGATTAATTATGACAAATATTGTTTATTTCAAAGTTAAGTAAGCCACTGCTATTGCAGCATTATGAAAATTATAAGCGTTGTAGCATCAGTGCACTGGATGTTTCATGTAATCAGTCTGGAATGAAAAAAGAATGGTCATTCTACTACACCTACATATAGTTTATGCAGTTCAACATTGCTATAGCCATGATTTCTTCTAGAATTTTTAAAAAAATTATCTCAGTGGTTCTAAAAAAAGTCAAAATCATGGATTTTGCTATCAAGATTTCTGTCACAGAAAGCTTGTTTAGAAGAGTGTTGATAAAATTCTACTGCAAAACATTTTCTAAATAAAAATAGCAAGAAAAAGAAAAAAATTCCAAAGTAATAAAAATGTTTTGATGGAACAAAATAGTTAAGCATTTGCTTAATATTTGATTAAATAAGATTTACTTACATTTTCTTTGAAGTGTTTTAATTTTTTTAATGTCTGTGGAGTATTTGTATAATACCATGATGTATATTTATGTAGAACTGAAATTATAACAGTACAAATATCACTATAGGAGAAAAATGACATTTTAACGTATATTGTTCTATCCAGTCAAATTGTGAATCATTTTGAAGTTCATTATAGAGATATTGATAAATTGTGTGATTGTCTTAATGTTTTTTTAATTATTATTTCATATCCAGCTGAGGTTTTCAGTTAGAATCATCAGTTGGTAAATTCCAAAAAATGGATAACTGAACTTGGTTTAAACCTGATAATTGTATATGGTTTAGTTAAACCTAATCATAACGCTGAGTGATGAGATAATTTTAATACAATATTCAATTTACTTGAACAAAATAGTTCCTTGTACATATTTTTGCCTATTCACTGTTGATATGTACGTAGTCAACTGACGGTAAAAAAAAAATAACACTAAAAATATGGTACCAAAAGGAAAATTGTATAGGAGAACAGTAAATAGTAGCCTCACTGCAACAAATACTTATGTAAATATGCTTGGGCTTCCAGTTATAAATTTTGTAATTTTGTCATTTATTTATATCCTATAAAAGCACACAAAATAAAATGAAGTTGTACAGTCCCAGTGCTTTGTGCATCATTTTATCATTGCTAAAGGAAATAAGGGGCCTGATCCAAAGGATACTGAAGTCAGTGAAAGGTGCTCCCCTTTCCCTGATTTCACTGGGCTTTGGATCTTGTCCCATGCAAACCCAGGCATTGCTGTGGAGACAGTTTTGGTTTAAGAATACAGATTTTGTTTACAGACGGCAAATATTTCATACTTTAAAGTCCTTAACTGGTTCTTCGGTGCACTACTGAACTGGTGACTTTAATCACACCTTGTAAAGCCTCACACAGGTTGTTACATTAAAACACGTTCACTTCAGGCACCACAAGTACAATTTTTCACTGATTTTCCAGGCCAGATTTTCAGGCTATAAAACTGGGGCACCTCTTAGGTAGCTGAGCAACCCCTAAAATAAAAGGATGAGACAGGAGCTGCAGCACAGCTCTAAGCAGATGTAAGGGAAAGGAGTGAGACAACAGGAAGAACTGGCAACTTGCAGGAAGAATTTGATCTAGGTTCATCAAAGAGATGTCAAGCAGGTAAGGCGGCACAGTAAGCAGCTGAACTTGTTTGGGAGAGATAATTGGGGCAAAAGAGACTGAGGATGGCTAGCAAGACTGATGAAAGATGAGATAGATGAAAGACGGGTGGGGCAGGGAATGAGGGTGAAGAGGAAAGTTTTGGGACACACTGAGGCAGTAAACAGTTGGAGCCCCCACAGTAGACATAAATTGAAACCGGAAGGAGAGATAAGATTTAACAGGCATCTCTGTATTTGCAGAAACCTGGGATTTAGAGGGAAACATTTCCCTCAGTAACTAATAGTGTAAGCCAGTTGGAGAGAAGTCTATGGGGTCCCCTCTGGCATGGGACAGTGGTTCAGCATTCCTTTCTTCAGATCCAAAGAGACTTCTACAAACCTGCATTAACCCAAAGCAGTTACCACTTGATCTTCAGACCTTTTTGGTCAAGGTGGCTTTCCATTCAGGTTCCTAGTGTGCTGGAAGCGTATAGGCACTAA